TGACAGATGACACACTATGATATACATGTATTTCTGAACAGGCTTCATTTAATACTTAGAGCTAAATCCTCTTTAAAATGAACAGTGCTTTAAATGAAAGCTTTTAAATGGCCAAGAGAATTCTAAAATTTATTCTAGCAATGTCCCTACCGTACTCAGAAAGATCGCAACAATTCAAGGACTGATTTTACACTTAAAGAATCCCCAATATATCTTCCCTCCCTCCTCACCTCCCACAAAGAAAAAAAAAATAAAAAAAAATAAAAGAGTAAAAAGGTAAAAGTCTAGCTGAAAAATAAGATATTGAATTAAAGCACATCAAAAATCTTTAACAAAAACATAATAAGTGTCTAAACAAAGCGTGCGTTGGTAGGTAACTGAAACATATTCCAATAGAGATGAAGAAATATAAACTATGAGTCTTCTGGCATTTTTCTCTAGATTTTAGGCCCCTTAGGGACAATCTTTAATAATTCTAACCTATCTGTCAGCATTTTTCATAGCAGACCTGTGGATCTTCACTGATGTAACCAATATACAACATCTTCAAATAGCATTTGAAGTTTTATAACACAGTTGTGGAAAGATGGCTACCTTTGATAATACTAAATAAAGGAAAGCCAGCAATTGATGCCAGTGCCATCGAATGACATAGGCAGACTCCCCGACACATAGCTTAGTGTTTACTCCATCTACGCATAATCTCTATAGGAAATGACCAGCCAGACCAGTCTTCTTTTGTGCCGGTTCATCTTTCAGCATGTGGGATGGTCTGCTTCTGTGCCTTTAAGATTTCCTTCTTGAATAATGTTCAGCCTTCCTGGACTCTTCTGCCCTTCAGGACTGCCTCCCAAGGGACTCTGCCAACCAGTTGCCTTAACAGGCCAAAGTCTGCTCTCTGGAAGTCCAGGGTGGCAGTTTTACCCCTCCTCCTTCCCCCCCCTCCCTCATCCCCCCCCGCTTACTTTTCCAAGAATCAAAAATTCTATTAATTTATGATCACTGTGCCCAAGATGACTTCCACCCTTTATATTGCCCATAAGTTCTTCTTTACTTATGGGCTAAAAGTCCAGTGGTGCTCCATCCATTGTTGATTCGTGTTCATCTCTTATTAATATGCGAACTATATAGACAAATTAAATTATGTTTTCACTAATTTTAGTAGTGATGGTGTTCCTGTAGATATGCATCTTATATTAGGAGTATAACTTGACAAGTTGTTTGTTTTTTTTTTTTGATTGTATAGTGAACTTCTTGTCCATGAACACAGACTAATTAATAGCCCTGAAATCCTTCATGTATTCACAAAACAAGTATATCATTGTTGCTCAAGTAAGGGAACCACTTTTGCAGAGTATAAAAAGAAGTTAATTTCCTGAAATCCCTTTACAATATTACTAACAACAATATTTTTTTGTTTTTGCTTGAGCAGATTATCTGATATGAACTTCTGTAATGCAAGAGACTAATAGGTCTCATCTGGAGTTCTGGTTCTTAGTACTACATTAACTCAAAGCACTTCAAAATTACAGAAATTTCTCTCTGATCAGAGACCCGATGTTAGCAGTATCTAGCACACAGTGCCATTACAGGGACAAATGATCTGGACAGTATTTATCTAATAAACCTGGGGTAAATTTAATTAATGATAGGTGAGCCGACTGGGGTATTTGCAAGTTCAGTAAAGCATGAAAGGATGTCAAAGTCTTATTAGGACATACTGTTCTCATTCTGGTCTTCTAACAGACTCATCATAGCTCAAACAGATGATACAGAATGCCTTCTTAATATTTGGGGGACAGGGAACACAAACCAAACACTATGCAAATCTGTTACAGTTTTGGTCATCTGGCTCAAATGTTATGTTTCCATTCATTGTTTTAAGATATTAAAAACCTGCTCATGAGACCATTTTAAAAGGCTTATTAGTCTGGGTGGTTAACTCAGCTGAAAACATCCTTATATTTATCTCTTGTAGACAGGACAACACAAGCTAAGCTTCATACTTCGAAATGAATTAAAGACTGGTATTAAATAAGTACGTGCTAATTTAAAACAGTGCTTCTTTTTGAGTTGAATAGAGTGGGTGGTATTTATTTCAGCTAACATACAACACCTATATTGTAAGAGACCTTAAGGATACTTGTCAGAATTCTCAGGAAATATTTATATAGTATCCCTGAAGTTTTGCAGTTCATCATCTTCTTTAGTCTAAGCAGAATACACCACATGAATTTAAAAACAGTTCTTAGATTTTCAGAATTTTGTTAGCTAATTTACCTCCTTATGCTTCTGCTCACACAAATCACAAGATTTTTTAAATTATACTTAACATTTTGCAAATAAGAACATGAATACAATTACGATACCAAAGTCTGTCAGACACTGGCCACAAAAACTTGACAGCCTGACAGAAAATTTCAATCAAAAAAGAATAAAGAAAGAAAAATAAAAGAAAAAATATTTTTTTTCTCCAGATTTCTCCTCTCCAAAATAAATATATTTGAATACAAAGAACTAAATATGGAGTCCAATAATGTTAATCTTTTAATCTTAATGTTAATTAAGATTAAATTAACTTAATCTTAAGATTAAGATTTAATTAATGTTAATCTTAATGTTTCACTTTTAAAATGAAGTTTGACACTAAAAGAAGAAACAAAATAAGATACGCCAGAAGAAACTTAGAAAAAAGGCAACTATTCATAAAACCATGTTTATAAATCCTTGTGAGATTTTTCCACATCTGGGATTGTGTCTTGTCAGCTTATGTTCTTGTATGACAATACAATAATTAAAAGGGGAAGAAAGAGACATGTTTACACTGAACTCTCTTACCTAATATTTAAGTATTTAGTGTAGGATGAGATTAATTACAGTTTATGCCAATGTTTCTCATGTTAAATAAATGCTAGGTATAGATAGCTATGCTAGGTATGCTAGGTAGAATGCTAGGTATAAATAAATCCAATGACATTACATCAAGCTATTCATATCAACACTTCATAGAGTTCACTTCTTTCTCAGCAGAGCTGTACAGGAGAAAGTTAGCTGGAAAGGTTCAAAGCAAAGGCATATAATGAGTTAAAATGTTAGCACTGTTTAGTACTGTCTTCCTCCTTGAACTTCCATAATTGAGCTGTACAAAAATGCTTTGTAGGTGGCTGTTTCTCTCCATTTTAACCATAAATGGAACATACCATAAAAATATTTAGAAACAGGGATTTCCATCACATACATTTAGAGGGAGATGAGATGAATTTCTGATTTACTCAGATGCCACTTGTGTTATTGGCTCATGGAGATACCTGGAGTATCTCTACACTGAGTGCAGTATTTAATTAAGCAAGGGATAGTTGTACTGTTTTTATTTCAAGATAAAAAAAGAGGCCTGAGGGAAGAGGGCTAATTGGCAACCCACTGTCTTTCAACAACTCCTTGAGGGAGGCTGACTTTTATATAATCATCTCTGAGTATTTCTAGGTCTAAAGAAATTAGCTGCTAATGAAACACTACCATTACTTCAAAAGTAGTCACAACAGTTGACTGAGTGCGTACATCTTTACAAATGAGCAGAAATTGTCTGAGGGCTTCTAGAAAAGATGACTGTGGAAAAAAAAAAAAAGTGTTCTGACAGTACATTTAAGAGGTTGTGAATATATAAAAAGTTTATAATATATTAATCTTTCTTTACATGTTCATTTAATACTGTATTGGTTTGTTCTGTAGAGTGCCAAATCTTAAAAAAACACCACAAAACACCATGTTAAAAACAGCAGTTTAACATGGTTGCATTAAATAATAATAATAATAATAATAATAATAATAATAATAATAATAATAATAATAATAATAATAATAATAATAATACAATAATAATAATAATAATAATAAATCTTGGTTTGTATGTTTTTCTTTTACTACTTAAAAAATAAAAACTGGAAATTCAGTGAAACTGTAAATGTTGTTTAGCTGCCAATGTATTTGCTCAGGAATTTGTGTTGGCAAGATTATCTCCCACACAAGGGTACCACAGATCACAGTAACTGGGCATTGGTCAGCTGTAGTAATGATCTAACTGGTAACTGGATAGTTCTTGACTGAATCACTAACAGGATTTTTAATGAATACTATATCAGCACTGGATTGGTATAGTAAAATTCAGCTCTTTCTTGTCTAGCATTTGTTTGCTTCAGCATAAGAATGACAAATCATAGAGCTGGCTGCTGCCATGTTATTGGCTGGGATAGAGTTAATTTTTTTCATAGGCACTCTGTTTTGGTTTTAGAATGAGAATAATGCTGATAACGCACTGATATTTCAGTTATTGCAGAGCAATGATTACACAGAGCCAAGGACTTTTCTGCTTTTCTTGCTGCCCTGACAGTGACTGGGGGTGCATAAGAAGCTGAGAAGCAAAAGAACCAGGACAGCTAATCCAACCTGGCCAAAGGGATATTCCATACCATGTGGCATCATGCTCAACAGTAAAACTGGGAGGATTTGACCAGGGCTGCCATTGCTCAGGGCTGGTTGGCATTTCTTGGCTGGTGGTGAGCACTTGCATTTTACATCACTAACTTTTTATTCCTTTTTTTAAAAAATATTATTATTATTAAACTGTCTTTATCTCAACCCACAAGTTCTTGCACTTTTACCTTTTTCAGTTCTCTCCCTCATCCTTCCAGTGTGGGAGCAAACAGCTGTGTGAGTTCACCTTATATGCACTTTCAGCAGGGCAAAAGCCTGCTGAAAATCTGACAAAATTGTTTTCTTTTTGTTATGTCTGATGAATACATGGGGTAAGTGGTAATGTAAGCTCAGAAGAGGATCTGGCATTTTGGCTGTTTCTCTTGTTTCAGAAACAGTATTAAAATGTATGCTTTGCACTAAATTTTGCTTCCATTGCCAGGGGAAAATGCCTTTATGTTCAGCCCATTGTGAGTTTTAATATTCTCTCAGTTTTCCTCCTAACATTTCTAAAGATTGACAAAACAGTATTCCAGGACTTTCATTTATTCAAAATGTTTAAAGAAGTTCTTAAATCCTTTTGAACAGAAAAGAAACAGTTCAGGAAATAAAATGGTGTAATTTGTCAACCTAAGCGACATACAAAATGATTGATGACACCCTGGCTCCACTGAACTTACATAGGAGTTTTACCATTGATTTCAATGAAGACAGTTTTGGAACAGATGTGAACAAATATCTTGTCTTAGCAATTCGTTTTTATGAAGAGAAGAGAAAGCATAGAGAGAACACCATGTTCTTTCATAGAGTGAAGCAATATAATAGAAAAACAATATAAATGGTTTGGAAAAACTAAAAATTAGAGAGAAAAAGAGGTAGGCTATTAGAAACAAAAGGCATTTTTACTAAAAGGAAAAAAAAAAAAAAACCTGTGCACATGCATACAAGGCCATCATAGGACTTTCCAAATACTCTTTATTAATTATTTAACAATTCCTAAAAACTGACGGAAGTTCAAAATTTAGGAGAGATTCTTCACAAGACAGATATCACAAAGCATGACCAGTTAGTGAAGAAAATCTCCTAAGATATCTTGACAAACAACAAAGAAAGATTCATGCTTAACTCTTTCATTCTGAATCCTCTTTGGAAGTACCTACCTCTTACAATCTAGGAGTACTAGGAGTCTAGACACTTCAAGAAGTTCTTTGTCACTGGACTGAAAAGTCACCAGGGCAAAAACCAGGTACAAAAAGAGAAGCTTTCTCTAACTCTCCCAGAAAGATGGACAAAAAATTAGGCTACATACAAACTCCACCAACAATATCTCCCAAAATTGAAACTGAGCAACTCTGCAGAAAGTCATCACAGATTCAGCCAGGGCATTACCAGTCCTTACTGGCCATGCCCATTCTACCCTGAAACTTCTCTCCACTTCTGCCCATAGGCCCAGAGGTGACGCACAAGCCCAGACCTGGGCACCTAGACTTGTCCTGTGCTATGCTGTAGGAGTGCCTGTCTTCAGGCCTGCTTGTGGCCCCAGTTCCCTTCTGCTCTTGACTGGATCCCATGGACGGACCCTGGACCTAGTTCATCACCTGCCATGTTGGGAGTTGTCTATGGACCCGGTCACCAGCCCACAGCTCTGTCTTCCATGTCTTCCACTGGCCCTCAGGACAGTGTCCCAACTCATTCCCTCTTCTGGTGCAGCTCCATTTCTGCAGCTCCCTGAGAGATGCATAGGGAGAAGTGAAGAATAATAATCAGTTATGTCATTCAGTAGCTCACTGGATTCTGCTCCAATTGTTTCTATATTTTTTACAATACTACATGAAAATGAAAAAAGTAGTTTCTGAAGCAACTGAAGTAATTCTGACCAAGATTCAGTTTTATACTTCCTGGATCAACATATTTTTTTTTCATTGTTATTTTTTAAAATACAATATGCTATGGTGGCTTTTGTTTTGTTTTGTTTGTTTTCTGAAGAGAAGTTGATTTATGGACATTCTCAACAGAACAAAAAAGTTACCAAAGAATGAAAAGCTAAAAATACAAAGTTAAAGCCAACAAACCTTGAAAAAAAAAAGTGAGTGAGGGGCTCTGTGATGGTGGCTGGTGGCTGGAGCAGGACTGCGGGTCACAACCCATGTGCCTGGTGCCAGCTGCTGGAGGGCAGCAAAACAGTCTGCCCATGTGTACATGGGGTGTGCGTGTGCATTTGCTGTCAAACTCCACACTGGAACAGCCATTGAGTAGGTGACCAATGGAGCGGGTGAGAGGGGCTGGGATGTGAACAGGGGTGCTGGGTGGGCAGAGAGGCCGTGCTGGTGCTTGGGGCACCCATGAGTGTGCATGTGCTGGTGAGCCTGGAGGGGCTGTGTGTGTGCCTGCACCAGGGAACTGCTGTTAGTGCCAGCCTGAGAGCTTTGTTTATTTATCTATTCCTGTCACTACTACTGTGATTCTTCCAGAAGTTACTATATAAACGGCTCCTCTGGCAATGGTCTATATATATATACACACACACATATATATAACTCCACCCCTAATTCAAATTCTTCTATAAGACCTTCTCCTACAATGCATATCATAAAACCATCCATGAAGTTGCATCAAATAAACTATCAGTACTTTTCCATATGTAAAAAAAAAAAAAAAAGTATTCATGTATTCATGTAATACTTTCTGATCACATTCTCCCCCTGTATAACCTACTATGAAGCTCAGAACTGAGGCTTTACTTTGGTAACTGGAAAACATCTAACATACGTTAAATCTTCATGTAGTTTAATAAATAGTAATGAATGATATTTACCCATACTCAATGCTTTTATCCAACAGTACAATGAAATCTTCAGTTTCAGATAAGTTAATATATTTTCTGAAATAAAAAATAAATTGAAATAATTAAGTGGCTGGGTTAAACAAACAAACAAACAAAAAAAAACACAATATACTTAGGTGAAGACAGATGCATAAAATTCTAGTAAGAAAATGGAAGTGATTTGCTTCAAACATCAAGAACCAAAATGACTAGATTAAAATTGAATGTTTGAGCAAAAAAAAAAAAATACAGATATCAAAATCTTAAATCTATATGTAGTCACATAGAATAACATTTGTCTTGCCTAAATATACATATCTGGACATTATTTGGTTAATCTGATAATGACTGTATGCTGTCTCCATAGTAAAATGAGCAAAAACATAGGTGCTTCTCAGAGACTTACTCCTGTTTCATGACATCTTCCTAAAATGCTTGGAATTTATTCTGTGGGTACATCTATGGCATTCCACTAATTTCCTCCAGACATTTGTTTCAATTCAACAACTGTTTTTAAACGGATTACAAAAGGGAAAAAAAAAATCTGCTTTTATTTCTGAGGTTTATATTTTGGCTATGTCATATGATGTGAAGGTTAAACTTCCATGTAGTTATAAATGTTTCTTGTGCTGATCGTGTCAGGTCAGCTTATGATGGGTAAACCACAGCCATTGTTGATAGAACCCCATACTCTGTAACTTCTGAACAGAGATGGCAATAAATAATAGTAATAAAGCATAACCTTGCACATAACTCACACATCGTATCATAGTTTGTTATATTCCCTTACAGCTGAAAAATAAAGGTGAGCTTTATTATTTATTTATTTATTTTCCCCAAAACGGGAAAACTGTTTTTAAGCAGGGAAAATATTTTTCATCTTATTAGTTATTGAAAATCATTCAAAACTTTTCAGGTCAAATAATATTCCTATTTCACATTTTCCTTTGTTACAGCAATTATAAAATGACTCATAGAATCATAGAACAGTTTGGATTGGAAAGGACCTTAAAGATCATCTAGTTCCAACCCCCGTTCCTGCAATGGGCAAGGGTGCCACCCACTAGATTGCTTGGGACCTAACCTGGTCTTGAATACCTCCAGGGATCCACAGCTTCTCTGGACAACCTGTTCCAGTGCCTTCACTCTCAGTGAAGAATTTGCTCCTAACATCTAATCTAAATCTTCCCTCTTTTGGTTTAACACTAACTGAAGGAAGATTGTCATGTCCTGTCCCCTGTCCCTGCCCCTCCCCCCCCCCCCCATCCTATCACCTCATATCAGTAAAAGAGTACTAGGTTTATTTGTATTGATCTTGCAAAAGTCAGTAACAGTTCTCCATGAAAAGATGGGACTAAAAAATACAAACAAACAAACAAAAAACACCTTGTAAATATAAAATAAATTTTACTGTAAATTTGAGTTGATTTTTTCACTCATCTGGAAAGGATTTCAATTCCCTGCAATTTGTTTAATCGCTCTTTATCTTAGGGAACAGTACATGGAATCAATGTGCTAGCTAAATGTGCAGTTAACATGCTAGCTAAATGTATGATCTAATTGACACTAACTTCTTTCTTTATTTATGTATTTATTTTATTTTTGGTCATAGTCATTCCATACTTATTCCATCCTCTCTTCAGACCAGGAACTGCACTATTGTCAGTGTTTGTGATTCACATCATATGCCAAGTCTTGTAAGATTATTTGATTTGTTATAAAAATAAAAATAAATATTCTTAAGACTCATCAATTTCAGTAAAGGTAACTAAAAAAAAAAAAAAGAAAAAAGTCCATATAAATACAAAATCAAAATAATCAGAGTTCAGAAAGAAACATAGAAACATGAAGAAAAAAAAAAAAAAAAGAGAGATGTTGATTCATATTTGATTTTGTCTCTATGCTTAAAATATAAAATTTTACTATAAGCATCTTAGACAGATGTTATAGATACAATATAAAGCTCTGTTTTGTGTGTGTGCATTTTTTTTCCTTTCTGTGGCAAATGATGCATTTGTTCATACTATGTTTAGAACATCAAATAATTTATATGAGGAGAAACCAAATATAAGTGCCTCAGTCAGGCTTAGTTAATTCATTGATAACCAGATGGGGAAGACAGAAAACATTAAATATTATAATTTAAAATGTTCCAGTGTGCCTTTTATAGAAAAAGTAATTGCATGGATGTTAAATATTCACACTGCAAAGTAGTTCTGAAAAATTGCCCATTTTAAATTTGTCTCCCACCAAGTTTCTATTTTCTAACATTACAACACACTCCAAGAAATATTTGGGTTTGACTTGTTCTCTTGATATCAGTGAAGACTGTAACAAAACCATATCAAATAAAAAATATCTCAAAGAATAATCAAGTTTATTTTTCAGTCTTGCTACAAGATGACCACTCTATTGAGCCTGTGATGACTTCACTGTGACTATTCAGTGAGTCTGTAATGCTTCACAATGCAGCTTTTTGATCTATGCTAATCGGTATTCATTATTTGCAATTAAAAACATGTGCTTTTATGATTGCACAAATATTTGATTGTGACAGCTAATTCAACGCTAGCTTTGTCTTCAGTTTCAAAGAAGAAATGTAAACCGATTGAATCACAGTTACGGTAATGACAAAAAATTACTATTAATGATATTGACAATTATCCTATTGCAGTCATAAGTGATCTACATGTATGTAGGCCATACATTTTAAAGTAGTTTCTATCCTGTCATAGTACTGCAATGTAGTTCTGTTAATCTACAAACTCTATTATCTTTTAACTAATCTGTATCTTGTGTAGTCAGTGATGGTGATGTTAAACTTTTTACAGCTTTTAAAACAAAAGTGCTTATTCATCTTATAAATGATATCATCAAGCTTTGAGAGTAAAAAAAAATGCTTTAATTAAGTAATTTCTATATTTTCATTAAATAAATCATTAAGTTTTAAAGAAATATTAAACATAGCCTTTGGATTTTTAATATATCAACTTTTATAATATTTTTGGATGGGGAAGTTTGTATATTTGATTCTATTTTCTTTATAGACATTTTAAAAATTGCTTCTATTTGTATTTTGTATTTATTATATATTTGTATTGTATTTTGTATTTATGTATATTTGTTTATGTTTACATTTATTTTCCTTCTTATATTTCTGTTCTTTTATAACACTAAAGTTTAGGCAGTTTGTTTTCTTCACTGCTTTCACATGATGTGAGAAAGTTTCTGAAATGCTCAACATTGACACAAGCTCCATTATATTCCTTTTCCTTTTTTTTGGATTTATGTGAACCTGACTGTGAGATATCTCTGCTGAAATATTTTAATTTTCAAAGATGTCTGTCAATTACTTCAAGTAATCAGTCAGTTATTCAAAGATTACAATCTGCGTCGCTGGATTTGAAGTCAACAATTTCTCTTCTTTCCTAGTGTTTCAAAAGGCATTAAAATGGATGAAAAAAATATTATTATATATGTAATTCTGATCATTGGAGGAGCTTGCATGCAGTTGTATTATACAGACAAAGGAATTTGCAATGTCTACACAATTAGTATCACACCCAAGCCTGTGCTTAGCCCAATGCAAAATCAGGCAGTCAAGTATGGCAATGTACATATACAACCAATTGCTTTTTTTCATGAATAATTCTTATGTTGAAACTAGTATGCATCATTTGAAATAAGAAGCATAATATTTTGAAAAGATGGGTGTTTATATACATCTTTATAGTCAGAATGGCAGAAGGAAGTCATCAGTTAATGACTTTTACTATCCTTTAAAAAACAAAACAAAACAAAACAATAACAAACAAAAACAAACAAAAAATGGATACTTGTAGGAAACAGTCCTCTGTAAACTATAACAATTTGTTAAGTAAATACCCATTTGACTCCAAAGTTTCAGTATCTTAATAATATCTTGCTGTGGCAGCATTGAAAGACATTTTTTAACAAAATCAGAATCTCCTTTGTACTTTCAATATGTTTGTGTGATGAACCTTTGCTTATTTTCCAAAGGAAAATAAATAACTAAAAGAATGTAATAAGACCCTGCAGAGTACCTGTGAAATGAAGTGTTCAAAAAATCTTATCCTCAAGTCTTTCCTAAACTTCAACCACTATTTAAGAATAAGTGACAACTGGTAATTATCTAGTTTCATCATTGTGACAGTGTGCCTCTCCCTACCCACCAGCCTGGCCTTTCACACAAAACCCTGCTCAATTCATAACCACAAATGGGTGTCATGTTAAATGTGGCTGGTTGTGATAACTGTATCCAATGTGGATTAGACAGATAATACACATTAGCCAAGGAGTTAGTTTAGCAATGCACTCACCTGATCACAGTGCTGGTCAATATCCAACTCAAGCCAAATTTGGAAATAACTAAAATCTGCAGCTGGTATGCAAATGTGATTATGAGTCAATCATCTTACCCCATAAAGAGTGAGCAGCCCAAGAGCCTGTTGAGCTCTCTTGTGCAGCAGCCGCAGGCTGTACAACAGGATCTTCCCTTGACCAGGGTCCTTTGAACCTCATGACTCAATGGGAGGGTCTCCTCAACCTTTAGACATAAACCATTGACCAAGTCTGGGACTAAGTTTGGGTCCAGCTGCACCTAGGCTCCTGTCTGAGAAGGAGTTTGGAATACAAGGGCATCCATTCTGAACCTTGTGATTCAACTGGAGGGTCTCCTGACCGTTTGCCCAACCCTGTCATCAATGCTGTAGATATCCAAGTGTGCCCTGCCATCTTGAATCTTATTAAGTAACTCTCTTATTTATGAATTAGCTTTGTTAGATCACTACGCTGTATCAATAAAATAAACTGCTTCTTCTCTCTTACAAGTGAAGTGCTTATCATTCTATACATGATAATCAGTCCAAATGTTTGTTTAACTGGTATGTTAAACATCAATAGTCTTTCCTCTTATCTTCATGTAACCCCTGAGCTTGTCAAAATAGCTCTCCAAGATATTGAATATTTCTGGAATACTCAGAATACCATAGTCTTGTTGTTCTGCCTCATGAATGCACTTCAGATTCTGCTTAAAGTTAAACAACTACTTGGGGAGCTCATCTGGAGATCTGCCCGGAGGCAGGATAGTTGTGGGTGGCAGG